CGCGGCCTTGGTGGGGGGAGATCACTGACCTCGGCCGCGCGGCCTTGGCGGGGCACTGACCTCGGCCGCGCGACCGCGGCGGTGTTACTAACTTCGGTCACGTGATTACGGTATACATATATATATATATACATATATGCGTATGTGTGTGTATTATATATAGATATAGAATATATATTACATATAATATATATAATATTCTCTTTTTTACTTTTTTCCCTGATATGGTTTATAAGACGTATATACTATCTGTCATCGCGGTGACAGGTTGTATTCACTGACAACACGTTAAATAAAAATAACAATAGCGTGCGCGTAGCGCGCGTCTGTGTTGTGCTAGTTTAATAAATTTCGCTTTCTAGTGACTTTCATAGACGAGAAATTCATGAATTGAGCGTATTTAATCACAGTGTGCCTTTTTTTTGTACACTTATAACCGGCGTGTCGTGTTTCTCGCTTCGCTACGCGCGCAATGTGTGCAGTCGCCATTTAAACACGTTCCTGGCAATAGGTGTGTGTTAATTAACGAATTAAATGTTCGACCGAGATACTGTAATTATTTCGACACGCGGTGTGAAAAAAAAAAATTACTTCACGGTGAGAGAAGCGCGAAATTCGCGTTCTCTCCATCGTTCGTTTTTCTCACGATGGAACATTAATAACGTTTTCGAAGCGAAATATGTACATATATCGCGTGTGCGCATGTGTTCGCACATCGTCCGCTATTCAAACGGTCGAGATTCGCAAAACTCGTCGCGCGTCAGTTTCAGTTATCGTGTATTTTGTGCGAAATCCGAAAATACATTCACCACCGTCTGCTGTATAATAATGTCTGGGCGGATCCTTTGAGAAACGTTATACGATCCGCTTTAATTACAGCGCCCGGCGGCTTTCAATTAAACCGCGAATGGAGTCGAATGTAAATTGCTGTACGTATCGGGGAAAGAAAAAACTCGCTCGCGCGCGATCGATACGCCACGGTTATTTTTTTCTCGTTCTCGAATCGGCAAAAGAGCGAAAAGCGGAATTATACACATAAAATAAATGACCCTTGGAAATCGATTTATTAGATATTGCGCGTTAAAATAGACGACGTTACACCTCAGGAGACACGCGATCCGCGCGTTTATTATTTCGATGATACGCGTGAGATACAGCAAGATATTAAACGCGAGCAGCATCTGGCGTAGTAGTAATAGTCACCGATTGGTCAAGTTAACTCTTCCACCATACAAACATACATTCGCTTTTATCTAAAAATTAAGTGCTAATTAAATACCCGATACAAAAATTTGGTGCTCGTTTGGCAGAAAATTAAAGTGGAAAAGGAGGGGTAACTTGACGCCAAGCTAATTGACGTCTTCCTAATTGAAAAAACAAATGCATTTCCAATGAAAAAACAACTCAGACTAAACTACATAATAATTAAGTGCTTTTGTTTTTTTTTTGTTTTTTTGTTTTTAGATAGATGCGAGTTTATTTTTATATAATGGAAGGCTAACTTAACATAGGGTAACATGTCGTGTTCTCTTTCCACGCAGAAGTGTAGTACTTCTAATACAAGTCGATCATTCATTGAACCCCATGCACGCGCGAGCTCGCAAAAATAGATCCGCGTATATGTTTCCGTGTTGTACTATACGATACGAGCTCGTGCGGAATTTTCTTTCGCGTGGAAATATTTATCATTGCTCTCCCGTTGCGGATATATAAACAGAAACGACTTGTATTCAAAAATACTCGCAAGTTCCGAAACTCCGAAATGAATTTCTCATTTATACGCGCACCGACTTTCTGCAAGGTTTTTGCAGAAAGATCCGCAAGTCTTTGCTGCAGAAAATATCCTGCAGGGAAAACAAGAATGCGGAAAACTTTGTGAAGAGAGCAAGTTCGAAAATTCCACGATTACTTCATCTTTTGATGAAACGCAACAAAGACGAAATAATAACAATTATTAATATAATTATACGATGCTCTCGGAGATGCTTGAATGTTCAAGTTTCTTCTTTGTAGATCGAGAAATACTCGCGATGAGAGAAACTTTGCGTTGAAAGTATTTTGAGAAAAAAGATAGAAAATGTTTTCAACTGCGTATCGAAAAGTTTTCTACGTTGCGTACGAATTTTTCTCCCTTTGTGTAATTCCGAATCCGATAAAGGGGGCGGTTTATGTTTAAGAGAGGTAGAGAGAGAGAGAGAGAGAAGAGACAAGTTACGCGAAATGTTTTATTTGATTGGTTTGTTTTTATGCCGCTACAAAAGCGACCCTCCGTTCCGAGACATCTTTTCGCGCTCACTTATATACTTTGATTTGTATTTTACAACTTTTTTCAATTCTTTAGAAAATTCTCAGAATTCTTTCAAATATATTCCATGTATTGGTTTTTAAATTAATTCGGGTCTTTAAACACGCGTACTTGTGACTCGTCCATTCCTTGTAATTAATCATATTCAGAGTTTCCATGCGTTTTTTTTTTTTTCATTTCTTTCAATCTTTTCATCCGAAGTTATCTTTGTTCCTTCGTGCGTTTTGATTATCGCACTCGCTCTAGTTAGCAATCGTGCCGTCTTTCACGCGCGTTCCGCGCTATCACACACGCGCACAATTTTCTGTCTCGACGCTCCCCCGGAACGATCTTTCCAGCTTCGACGTCACATTGTGTATTCACGTAGACTTTTTTTTTTTTCCCGCGCCGCTTCAATCCCTTATAAAGGGAAGATTATGGAACGGTAACTGAATACAGGAAATGACGCGTATGAAAGCGTCGGTTCGCCGTTTCCGTGATCCTTGTTCATTGTATGATATATTGCGTTGATCAGCCAGAAAAAAAAAATCCAATATGCAGCCGCGTATAGCGAGCCGGGAAGTTCGCGCGCGCGACACGCTGAGAAATATTCATGGAACATTGGCGGTGACACAATGCCGCGAAGTTAACTGAAAAAAGTGTCGCGCGCCGCGCGTTGTAAAAGCCGATCAATCTCTTCACAATCGGAAGCTATCAGGAGGTTGAAAATTCGGTACGCGGCAGAGCGCCGCGTATAACACGAGAGATGAGGGATACGGGTCGCCGAATTGCCCCGTATTTTCGAACACGAGCACGAGACGCATTTGTGTTGCGGGGATTATAAAAACAATTGCTTTCGAGTCCGCTTGATATCTTACGGAATTACGGTGGTCGAAAAATTATCGTTCGATACGATCTTTATAATTATATTTATAGCAAATTTATCATAATGCGGACAATATAAATTTTCACGCAGTAACAAGTATAATTAGAGTGGAATTAGTTTTAATGGATTAATTAAAACTTCCTTCCGGTAAATTATGATAATCATTAAGAAAATACTCCGTGAAAATCTTATCTGTCCCTTTCTCTTTCTAAGCCAAAATCTTATCGCTCTTTGTTATTCATTTAAGCGCAAGTATTTCGCCCCATTTTGAAACATTATTTAAAAAGCGCTCGTTTCCATGTCCCCTATCGTGTTATATCCCCGTTTAACTTCCGAGGAACGCCTGGTCTCCTTAGTTTCGCTTCGTTCCGACAATTTACACCACCCTGTTCCCTCTCTGTTCCCTATTTGCGAGCGGTAGCGAATCCGGAATATTTGCGTGAAAGACGAAAATGTTGTGTCTTGCCAGATAAGTTTTGCAACAGAATGAATGCGGGAGTACCGCGCTTTTAAATGTTACGGAAAAATTGCGCGTGTTATGTTCGTCCACGTTGTACATGAAAGAGAAAATATTGCAACAACAAACGCGCTACCATGAGAGGGACATAAAAGTCATACCGGACTGGGAAAAATTAAATTTTGGAAATTATGCTTACGCGTGCGCAATTTTTTATACAGAAATGTTAAGACTGATGAGTTGCGCAATGCACAAATGTGAATCAACGAGTACGCAACATTTCGCAAAAAAATACGTACTAAATAAAATAACAGAATGGTTTGAATGAATCTGACTTTTATTATTTATTTTCAAGTACTATTCTCTTGATAAAAGGAACTTTTATTTAAAAACGCGTCCACTATAAAAAGTTTTTTATTTTACTAAAAGTAGCTAATAGGATGTTTAATGAATTAAAGAGTGTAGGCCGGATACATCCTGTTAGGATGTACAGTCGAATAGCCAAGCGGAAAATTGTAAAAGCGCGCATTTATAAAATTTACATGCAGCATTTATTTAGAGCGTTCAGAATTTCAGAATAGCGCGGTAGCCTTTTTGATAAAATTGTTGTACAAATTGCGAACAATTTTTGAATTCTGTTCACGTTGACAAAGATGGCGACTGAAAATGAAAGTAAAGAGGTTTACTTACTTAGTGAACCTCATATTCTGAACTAAATATATCGTAAATTTAGTAAAGTTTGCGTTTTTTTTTTTGCAAAATAAAACGTAAGTGTAAGAACTTTTAGTTTGCGAAGTAAAGTGACTTGCTCAATATTTATGTGGCATCTGCGTCTCAAACCTGCTGTCAAATTGCAAGAAAAAATATATTTCATTTGAAGAGAAAAAGAGATGTCTATTTATTTAACTCGCAACTGAAGTATGATTGATGAAATATTAAATCAGAACGATATTTTTAACGTTATAAAATTATATTACTTTATTCCATTTCCGTTCTAAAGTTATTTTAATCTTATTGACATTCAAATTTCTCTCTCCTTCTCTTTCTCTCTCTCTCTCTCTCTCTCTTTCTTTCGCTCTCGCTCTCTCTCCCTCAATCTCAATCTTCCAAGATAAACTTTCACCTCGCATTTGACGTTTCCAACTTAATCAAAGTTATTGTTAAATTTGATTTCCCCGCGATTCATTTTTGCATAACCCCACTTGTGTCTTTACTCAGTGAAATTGAACGCAAACTCTCCCTTGATTTAATAATTGTATAAAAAGCGCTCTATATATAAGTACACGTATTCAATTTTCTTTATTTTTATTGACTTATGCGTGACGATTTGAAAATGATCTGCAATATTTACTCTTGATAATGAATTTGCGCAACTTTTTTTTTATCGGTTTCAATTAATTACATACAAAGTAGTCTCGTATCCTTTTTCACTCAATCTCGCTCGTTCTGTTCGCGATGCCTGGAAAATAGGTAATCTCTAAAATGAAACGTGCGCATATCACGCTGCTTCAGAAGGTATCGGTACTAAAAGTTTCTCGTACAGTTTATTGGGTCACGTCGCGGATTAACGTAGAGCATCATGTGTGTGTATACGTGTGTGTGTGTGTGTGTATCTATCTCCGCGTTCACATTAAATTTCATTTCATTTCCGACATATATAAGCCGCGCAGCGACGACGACGACGACGACGTTCACGTGACGTCAGGAGCAAACATTGTCACACAGAGAGCACGGTCCGTGGGGACTGGATTTCTCGTTCGATCGACTCGACGTCAAACTTTATTGTAATTAATTACAATACCGCGTGGGCAATGGTCCATTAACCGCAGACGTGTGTACACGGTACGCCGCGTAATTCGCCGCACAAGTAGCTTACATCATTCTGTGGTAACATGGCGCAATAAGTTAGCACCGGATAGAATTATAACGAGATCATTGATACGATACGTGACGCGACGTAAGAAAAATGTTTGATCTTTAGATTTTGACGCACAATGTTATTTTATTTGTTTTTTTGTAAAACTAATATATATGACATTTCAAATATCCGGCGCAGAAAATTTCAATTTGCTCTGCGGCATCTTTAATCAATAAGATATGTTGTCACGATTTGCATATCGAATCTCGGTCTTCGTCCTGTCACATTTTAATGAAAGATTCTTTAATTGTAAGCGAATCCTTTTGTTGTGCAATTATTTGATGAAAGATCAGCGTTTGTTTTAGATTTTTTTTTTTACGTGCGACCGTAAAACCGTTTTACGATCGTTTTACTGCTGCGATATAAAATGTAAGATCAATATTTAATTACGTTCTCGTACTCGTTTCCAGGTCCGATTTAGTAGAAGAACTTTGCTCTCGCAGGGTTTCTAATTACTTCGCTTTTCTCCGACGAGAAAAGCGCCGGTTTTTTTTTCTCCCCATTACTCTCTGGTTTTTTCTTTCTCTTATCTGGTAGTTGTTCGTAACGTGTCCGATTGAAATATAATAATATCGCGAAAGTGCAGCACGGAGGTGCATTCTCACTTAATTCAAAATGTAATGTTTTAAAGAAATACGCAAAATTGTTTTTTACGTATTTATATTTGTATTTTTTTTTTTAATTGTTACATTTAACACAAAATCTCCATTAAAATTGTGCGTTTAATGACAAAATTCTCTTCGAGAGAACCCGACAGTTGTCGATCCGAACGAACAAACAAAACAAACTTCATCACTTGTGCATTCGGGAACGTAAACAACGCAAATAGACGTAGCGCGTATAATCGGAAGTTATGCAAGCTTTTCTAGCATTAGGTGCGCCTGTCTATTTCAGAGCTCGACAATAGTCGAAATCGCTTGTCATCCGAATGGATGTCGAGTTTGGCCGTTTCCGATTTTACAAGCGGTGGGACGTAAGCGGATTAAACAAAGCGCGTTGCGAAAGCGCGTCGTGTCGCATCAATGTCGCGGATTTCGTTTTCCGCACGAGCAACAAGTAACACGTCGCCTGTCAAGCTTTTCATATTTCCGCCGTATTGAGATCGCGAATTTCTTAATCCCGGGCGCCGCTATTCATCCCGCGACAAAAGAACGGAAGTACGGCGTATATATCTCCTCCACGCGTTTAGGTAGATAATACGCGCGTAATGAGAATGCAGGCGGAGATATACGATGTATATATATATATATACATACAGTGTGATTCTACTTGCTTGTCACTTATTAGAACGCTGTTGCTTCCGCTTTAGCGGAAAATCTGCTGATGATAAGCGATCGTTGCCAGAGAACTCTTTGTAAAAAAAAAATATATATATATATATATGTATAATAACGACAAACGAGAACGCGAAAGAGCATCTGCCGGTCGTTTCGATTAATCGATCACTTGTACGCGCTTATCTGTCGTCTCTTCACAGTCGTTGGCACTCGAGAGAAATGAGCGGATTGCACTTTCCCATCTGTGCGTTTACGCAGATCGATCGGTTTTGACGCTGACATATGAAATATTGAATGCATCGTTGTTTGTGACTCAATTTATTATTCAAGATCGCAAATACGTATCGTTTTTCGCGAAAGTTCGTGAATTATACGTAAAAATTTAGCTTGAAATGTAAACAACGCCAAATCGACAATAATTCTCGCTTTATTATGTGTGCGCTTTTGATTTTTAAATATGTCACGTCCAAAATAGAGGGAGAGAGAGAGAGAGAGAGAGAGAAAGCTAATTTCACCTCGCTTATGCATGAAAATTTGCATTTCGCCTCAAGAGTTTCGTGTTGCGTTTGGCGAATATGCATGTATTTAATAATGGAAAGCATCGGAAATGTTATTGACGCGATCGCTCTGTAACGAAATTCCCCGACGCATTAATGCGTAATAAGCTCTCTTCTCTCTGGATGTGCAGTTGGTATCAAATAAAATTTATCAATACGAATGTAAAATACAAATGGTCAAACAGAACGAAATCTCGTTTTGTTCGGCGCGCGTCTGTCAGTACTTCAACTTTAAATTTAATTAGAACCGATGTATCTTTTTTCCGCGATAGCTGTCGATATTTACGCGTATTAACCGCGTGTAAAACAATGGGTCCGATCCGATAACGATGCATGTCTGGAATGGAAAATATTGTCTTTGCGCGTTATTTTTTTTCGTTGATTGCTTAACGTTGAAATGCTTGCGTTGCGTTGGTTGAATGTTATCACGCGCGCGATGATTGTTACTAAACAGAACAGTGACTTTTTTGTGTTCACAAACACTTAGACAAGTCAAAAAGTCAAATCAAAGTCTGATAACAATTTATCTAATAAATAAAATTAATTTTCTATCAAATTATCTCGAGAAAAATGGATAATTTTTACAAAAAGTACGTTTAAAAAAAAAAAAAAATAAAGAAGCTGTCTTAAACCTAAGTGGTAACATTATTGCATAATTCATTCTGTATTATTACGCACATATTGCGCATATGTTTGCGTCGACTTTTAATGACCTTGTTCCAAGTTTGTTTCAACTTCAAAGAGAAGATTTGTTTTGATGCAAATAAATACACATATTGTGCAATACGTATTCATTAACGTTTATGCGCAGACTTACCTTGTCGCCTTGTTGTAAGCCAGCCTTCTCGGCGGGACCGCCCTGCACGGTCCACACAATGCATGCGAAGGTGCGCCCGTCCGACCCGGTTTTGCCACCCACCACTCGCATGCCAAATCCGCGCGCTGCAACAAAGGAACCTCGGGTTATTGAGAGAGTAAAGTGCCACGATGTATGGCGAAAAGCGATATAACGCCGGTAATTTTCCGAGAACATCCTCTTGTTTATTGATTCTTGTGTGTACACACACACACACACACACACACACACAGGACGCGTTAAGGGAAGAACGCGTGGGCCAATCATCGTCTCTCGCTTTATCGATAGCAAATACAGACATTTCCGGAAACCTACGTAGAGAGAGTGATAGCGTAATTGTGTATTTTGTTCTCTTTAGGACGAAAGAGAGAAGAAGGAAGAAAGAGAGAGACACAGTCACGTTTCGCGCGAGGATAATCCGCACGCGTACAATTTCCTTAACGGTCTCTCTGCAGCGGGAATTTATAGGCGAGTGTGCGGCTGAAGTCACAACGCCGGGTAAAATAATTAACACTCATGTCGCTTGATGTAAATGCGCGCGGTAATTGCGCCGATTGTTTCGGGTAACAATGTCAGGTTGTTAGCGCGAGTAACTGACATGAATTATTTATTCTCTCGAAATATTATTTGATCGCGTCAAGACGTTTCCTCTGTCGCGTTGCAACGCGATTGTTCTGCAAAACTAGATCTTTGGGGGAAGGAATTAGATTTTGTTTTCTTGCAACTCTTTCACCTTCAAGGCACACGCCCTGACGCGACGTTTCGATGTCGGTGCCTCGTCGTATTTAACGATTAATCGTATTTTGACGGAAGTACATTCCGACGTGGCCGAGCTAATCTCTATTGGCCCTAAGGATTTCACAGCATCTGGCCAAATCTCCTACGTGCTATTAAGCATTCGGGATTTCGACGGAAATGCGTGCTCTAATGGACGAAAGTTCACGTAATGCGTGTGATCAAAAAGCTCAGGGGGGAATTACTATACTAGAAAAGATGTGCGTCAGAGGCAAGAAATCTCATTTTTTACTTAGCTGTCGCGCGGTCTCGTTACTTTCGTTTATGGAATTTATCGTGCAATTAAACAATTGTATACTTAGCTTTAGTATTGTCTTCGAAAAATATTTGTTTTCGGGAGAAAATTAAAGTAAGAGAGATTAACAAGTTTTTTTCGCGCCACGCTAAAAATACACAACCAAGAAACCCAATTTGATTTTAAAATATCTTACAAATGTTGCCGAGTGGGAATTTGAAGTTTGTTTGTTCGTCGAGGATGTTGCGAACAAATTTGCGAGTTAGTTTTCCGTTCCCGGCGGGAACGCAGTTTATCGAAGTCGATAGAAATTAATATCGTTGCGGGGAAAAAGAGATCGCCCGATCGTAGTAGTTACTTCCTGCCGAATAAGAGAGAGCCAGTCGCGTTTATGCCGGGAAAATGTCGAACAAGTTGAAAGTTTACTCGTTCCACGCTATTTGCGCGAGCCAAGCTTATGTAACTCTCTCTACGTTGAAGTTTTAACGAGCGAAAAGGATGTAACGATAAAAGCAGGAAAGAAGAGAGGGAAGGGAAACGATAAAACAGAGAGAGAGAAAGAGAGATTTGCCGATAATAGCGTATAACATCCGTAATTTGGGCGTTTCCCGCGGTGAAACGAGGATAAAAAATTGCCACGTCGGCTTCCTGCGGCTTCTCGCACACGACACGACATCGTCCGGGGATCGCCATTACGCTTGTTTCTCACGTCCGCGTCATAAACGCGAGTTTATGCCGTTCGTCCTATTGCCCCCATACAAAAGTCTTAAACCGAAGGTTATACGACTGCGCGAACAAATATATAGTTTAGTTCAAATATATATGATTAAACGTGAATCGTAAATTCGATATAAAAATATGTTTTACGCGTATTGATCTTAAGAGGATGTGTATGCCAGTATTGATCGCGAACGCATGATTATACGGTGTTTCATGTGATCCAGATGTTCTGTATGTACGTATCGCTTGGATTTAAAAACATCCATTTTAACTCTAATCCTGTAAATTCTTCGACATTGGTATGCAATTTTTAAAAATGAGGTATTTCATTAACTATTCTGTGGAGGAATTTCTAAAGAGTTAAAAGTATATTAACATCAATGTTATTTTCTCAAATTGGAATAAAATCCCATGATTTTTTACAGATTTTTTGCAACGTTTTAACCAATAAAAAAATCATAAATAAATGTCAGGGTTTATAGGATAAGTATCTAAAAAAAACAAACGTTTATAAGATTAGAATCAAAGACGGAATAAAAGATATAGTGAAAGAAACCTACAAGTAAATCTATATAGAAAGTGTAATAATTTTTCTAAATTTATAATGACCATTTCTCTCTGTGTTCTACTTGATATAAAGTGCTAGAGTCAATACGCGAGACTGAATCAGCCAAATAGAATAGATACTGAAGATTAAAATAAGATCATCGGAAAAATAAGACATAGTAATAAAAATAAGACACGATAGGGGCAACGCAATGACAATAAAAGGGCAAAGGGACACGGGAAAACCGTGGTCGCGCGCGAACGAGGAGAAGGCGGAGAAAGGGAGAAGCGTGGGTTGGCATTCGATTGACGCGCATCACATGAGCGAGAGAAACCCTCGCGCGTAGTTTCTATCGTGCCATGCATATATTGCGTGCGGCGGTCAACATCTTTGCGCTCGCGGCGCCTGAACATCCACGATCGGACGCGCGCCATTCTTGCGAGCCGCCGGGAATGGAATTGTCCCCGTGTATTAGCATGAGAAATGCGAAACGCGCACGGGGAGAAGCACTTAATTAAGTGTTATCGTTCTGACCGCGCGCGTAATTTCGTTCTGATATGTGCGAATTAATCTCTGTCGTCCTTTCGCGCGTGCTAGCCCTCACGTAGCGTGAGAAACCCCGTTGACGAGTTCTCATGTCATCATCGAATGTGTGTTCGATCGTTTATCGCATCGAAAACACACAGCACCGGCTGTTCGTTAATTCCATCCGTTAATTCGATTGACGATGTTAATGAAAACAAAATGAAAAACGGATAATTTAAATACGATATTTATTTTTGTTCGCGCGGATATTTGTTGCGGTTGTTGATATATTGTTTGCAAAAAAAGTAATATTGTTATAGCAATTAAAAATAATATAAAGAGAGAAAGTTTATATATTGTTTATATATAAATATAATATGTATTTTTACGATATATATTTTTAAGTTGCAGTAAAGTTTATTTCAACTTTGAAGAGGGGGAACTGGTGTCAGAAATGCGCACGTACGCGCGTGAAAACAATATCGATTCCGGCCGCTCGTGCGCCGCACGAGATTGTCGCGATTGACAAGAAAAGTCAAAAGCGTCACGTAAGTAATTCGAAACAAATCGAGTGAAGCTCGCACGTGTCCGGACGACTTTCAAATTCGACAATCGTTAAATATCTGTCCCGCAGCGCAGCGGAATTACAGCGGGACCGGCTGTAATTCCGCTGAACGTCCGTTCTGTTGACCAGTAACGTGCAAACCTGCGTTTGCACAAACGCGACGTTTAACAAGATACGCGAACGCGACGTCGTACCATTTAATTGATCAACGTCATCGGACTCTCGAAGCGCAGCGGAATTATCTGTTAATGCTCTGACGAACTGGTTAAGGAGAATCTTGTTTGCGTCCTGGCGTCGCGTCGAGATAGCTCGAGGACTTAATCCGATTAGAGGTTTCGCTCGCATGTCGTGCTAATTATCAGCAACTATCGGTCACGATCAGTGTTGTGATAATCTTTCTGCGAATTGTTTTGTCATGCATGAAATTCAATCGCTGAACGAACACAGTTTTTTTTTTTATTTTGAATATCAAATTTTTGAACATTTATTCAAACATGTGTTCGAATGTAATACACTGAGAGGAGATTTAGATTCGACGAGAGCTTTTCACATTCATACGCAATCTTTTAATACGCAGCAGAAACAAAAGATATTAGCAATCTCGAGAAGAGTATTGTGAATATTTATAACAAGAAGAAATACAATAAGCGTTCGGAAGCGACAAAGCTAATTAAGCTCAATGTTGAAACAACTTGCAAGAAGCGCGCTCTAATTACAAGCGGCACGCAAGTTGCATAATTATAGACCGTGCCGCTCATTTACACGTGCTGCTTCACGTTTGCAGTAAGAAAGTTAATTCCGAGTTGCAATATATATTATTATCGCGAGTTGTTACGTATGTGCGTATTAGAATTAATAAGTTAAAAGTCGAGTTTTAAAGGTCGAATGAACAGTTCTGTTTTGTGCTTCAATAAAGTTAATACTACTTTTATTCTCTTGTAAAAAACATGTCACCTCAGTATCAAAAATGAATCTTATGGCGCACGCACGTGACTGAAACTCTGAGCTTATATAGTTGAACAGTTCGGACAGACGGGGGGGAAGGGCACAAAATAATTCTAAATCGGATTTATGATAACGCAAATGCGTTCAGCCACAGTGGCGTACCTGTTGCAGACAGTTCCGGAGAAAACCGTGTGACAACCCCTTCTATAAATTCCCGTCTCTATGGACAATTTTCTCATTTCTTCGACCCTTCTTTTTTTTTATCCCGCCCCGATCATTCCGCATCTTTTTAACTTCGCAAAAAACGTATGGATACTCCCTGCTTTTTTCCCCGCGTGAGATTATTTCGCAAAATGTGAAAAATATTCCGTAATAAAAATTGTTCATACATTATATATTTCTTACACAGAAAAGAAAAAATTTTATATTCACCTTCACGACAGTTGATTACGCAACACTGCAATAAATATCAGAAGTAAGAGTGTTTTGAATAAAATATTTTCTAATGAACTCTCGAATAGAAAGAACAAAACGCGAAAATCATTTATTCGCATTTATTTCTATACAATACACCTAGAAATATATTATTCCTCGCGAAAAGAAACTCTCTTTTGAGTTTTTTTTTTTTACTAAGTAAAGCGTAAAAATGACAGTGTGATTTGATTCTCGCGCGCGTACTCTTTCTCATAATTTTCTCTAATAAATGTGACACGGAACAATCTCTCTTCTTTTTTTTTTTTTTTTTCTTATTTTT